CACTTTAAAGTGCTATATAATGCTGAGAGATAACACTCAAAGTAGAAAATAGCAAATGAGCAGCCATTTTTGAAGTAGAGGATCATTTCTAATAAGCCCTACAGATTACATATTTTAGAAGGAAATGAAAACTACAGTATTTGTTTTATGGTGACTGTAAAATTTTCGAAGTACATATTTAAAGTGCAGATGTTGGTAAAACTCATGTTGTCCATGAGTTTTTGTTGATGAATGAACTTTCTTCACCATTTTATTAACACTAGAGATATCAGTAATCGTGGCACTGTGGTTAATAAATACAAACCAGGAGATTAGACAAAAGGCTTTAAAATATTTTGCAGATTAACAGGAACTGCTTGTGTTGGAGTTCTGTTATGACTGTAATCTTGCTATGGGCACAAAAGAGGATTAAACTATTTCTAGATGGCTGGAATTATTTGATTTCCCCCACCCCACTGTGGGGATCACAAATCAAAATGGTAACCAATAAATTAGAAGTGCATACTTACACAAAAAGCTCTGAGGATATGTTTTGTGCTGTGATTTAATTGTGATGCATGTAAATTTGTTCTGAAATTAAACTTTGTCGTGTGTTTGCGTACAAGAATTATACAATGATTGTGTGGTCTGAAATTTTAAATTGGAAGCAAACCTGAATTTGTATGGAGCGTCTCTGAGAAATACATGAAGGGCTCTTGGCATGGTGTGCTGTGTGGTGGAATTTGGCTCCTCCATATCCTTCGGCCTGAGATCAGTTTTTTTCCTGAGTCGAGAAGCAGGTGAACTGTTTCAGCCCCAGGTCTGAGGTCAGCCTTGGATTTCAAAGACCTTTTTTTCCAGATTTCAGTAATGGTCTGTAAATCAGACCATAACATAAAATTAGGTATCTTCATTGTAGTATTGTAATGTGAAAGAAATAGAAATACTCATTCAAATGAGAATGACTTTTAAATCTGCACCCTAAAATATATAGCATTTACCCCAATGACCTGATAATGATGCAGGACACTGCACTGGCAAACAGCACACGTGATTTACTTCCTGCTGCTGCCTGCTGACCTCCAAGACTGGCAGAGGTGGAGAAATCTACAGAGAGATACGCACAGAGCTTCCCCTAGTAGCTGCTGCTCCTGCCAGAAAGCCCCAGGATCCAAGGTGGTGTTTTGTATCACCAAAACTGGGCTTAGGACACTTTGAAACTCCGGTTTCTCTCTTACATACAGAACAAGCTGTTGACATAGACAGAAGCGTTGGCCTGTCCTTTTCTTGTCTGGAAATGGCTTCATTCCTGCCTGTAATACTGCTGTGTTTATACCGTGTGCATTGCTTTATCTACTGCTGCCATCCAAATAGGAGTTCTGAGTTTAACTTTTCTATACAGTATTTAACTTGGAACACTGATACAAAGTTGAGTTCTCCTGGAAGTGGACCACAGGTTAGATCATAATGGTATTTATCCAAGTGTTTTCCATGCGGTGTTTTAAATCTTATTTCTGTTCTGATCTAACATTATAAATTTAAACCATTCTTAATTTAATTACTACTTCAGATCTAACGCTTTTTATTTCTTAAATAAAACTAATTTTAATTGCAATAGTAAGTACTGTATGTTTTACAAAACACTTTCAATGAAAATCTTGGATACTTTCCATTATGGTCCCTGCAGACCCATCCAGTTTGAAAATGCACTGTTTTATCCTCTCCTCAATTACAGTACTTGGAGCAACTTCCTGTTAACTGTTTCTTAAGTTCTCAGAATAATGAATCCAGCAGAACTAAAGAGAGTGCAGCAGAAAACTGTTCACAGGAGGAAGCTTGCTGTTGCTTAGCTACCTATCTTCTTAATTTGGAATCTCCAGCAATTCAGTAACGACTGGCCCTTAAGCTGTTGACCGTATTTGTTCGTGAGGCATTGTGCCATTTCTGTGTGCATTTCACCTGTGTGTTACAGCTGTTATTGTGGGGAGGAAGGGGGCGTTTTAATGGGGTTGTATTGTAGCAGAAATCACAAAACCTAATAAATATAAGCAGTGCTTAGCAAAGTTCTTATGTGGGTACTGTTACACTGAAATTCAGAATAACCTGAGTCAGTGCTGCTCGAGAGAAGTTCCAAATAAGAGAAAATTATGCAGAAATTTGAAGTAGTAAAACCTGCAGTCTTCTAGTAATACACATTTTCACATCAATTTAGGCATAGTAAAGGTACGTAATTAGTTGCAAATCAAAATACTGCAGCACTTAATATTTTTTGTCCATTTAGCATTTTATTGTGAGTGAAAAAATGTCTGACTTTCAAAAATTTGCCTTACAGAGAAATTTGCTAGAATAAGATGCTGAATTAGGCCATGTTCATATGTTAAATATTGATTTATTATTGTAATTTAAGAATCTAGAAGAAAGTCTGTATTCACTTATGCTTTCTAATTCATGCATAGCGACAGTTTATCTAGGGATTGCTTATGGCTGCAGTACTGGTATTCCTCCAGCTCTTGCAGGTATGCTTTAATGGTTTAGACATGAATCTGTGTAACCCCTTTTCAGGTGTTCATAAGGTTTTGATGTCTGCTTGTTGCTAATGGAAAGTACTGGCATATTTCGATATAATTTTGTGCTCAATTAACCTCGCTATTGACTTACAGATGTACAACAGAGTTGCATTTCTTTGCCCTTTTATTGTGGTTAAGTATTTACATGCAGTTACCAGTCTTCAAGTCTGTAAAAACTTTTTTGTTCAGGTAATTTATTTTTAAGATGACCAAGCTCTTGTATAGCTTCAGATGCTTCTTGGGGTACTTTCATGTTTTAAACAGTAACATATCCTTCATGATTTAGCACTGCATCACATGGCTTTAAGCTGATTATTTCTATGCCCTTGATATCCCCGTGTAGAGACATGACTGCAGTAGCCTTTGTTTCCTTGTGGAATTTCCTGGAGCAGCCTTCAGCACATGGTGTGACAGAATGTAAAACCATACCCATAGATCACCTTATAAATATTTATTCATATAAATTCTTTAAAGAAATTAAATTATGTGATCTATACAAAATAGGAGAGAGAGGCTTTTAGTGTCACTGACTGCAAATTGAAGTCATTTGTCTAGAAGGGTCAGGTGCCACTTTGTGGTAAGGAATTTGTCTGAGATCCAAGAGAGGGAAGATTGATAGTACAAAGAGATTGATGAAACGGGCACTGCAATATGCATATGGAGTTATGGGTTAATTAGGAGGATTTGAACAAGAAAGTTCCTCTGTGTGGAGAAGTGTCGTGTGCTGTTACCTGCAGCAGTGAGGTGTGCTGGCAGCCTGTTTGAACATTCAGAGTTGATTTCCTGAGATCTCTGTGTGGAGATGCGTGGCTGTGAATAGCAGTGAGGTGGCAGAGTAGCAGGAACGCATCTGCTGCAGGTGATGAGTGCTTCTTAGGAAACAGTATATGTTGTTTTTGCTTGTAACTGTAGGTTTGTTGTTACAAATGTAAATTATAATGCCTGTTGTGATTCCGGTTTCAGAGGAAATGAAATGTCGAATATTTCTGGGTATCAGCTCCTTCAGATGCCCGAGGAGACAAGGCCACTTGTGCCACTTGCTAAGTGCAAGCACGGTACTTAAGCAAAAATCTGAACGTTGTATCTATGGAGCTTAGCAGATGGAAGCTGAGCAATCCACAAACGTTGTTTTCTTCTTGGTAGAAGAGATGTTTTGAAAGAACAGATGCTGCAAAATGCTCCTTATTGCCTTCAAGTTCACCAGCCACCTGGTATGTTTACTGGAGAACAACAAGGCAAGCTTCTGTAAGCAAATTTGTGCAGAAATTGAAGCAGTACCATCTCTTGTAAGTTATTCATGTTGCTGGCAGAGGATTTTAAATTTGACTTAAAGGTGTTGGAACCAAAATACGCTTTGTGCCCCTTGTGCCTCTTTCTGTTTAAGGACAGAAGAGTGCAAATCTTTCAGCAAGGCAGAGTAAAATAACTCAGCACTCACTTCAGTATTTATTATTGTAAATCATCTCTGTCTGCATAGAAGATGTGTGAAGCACAGCTGCTGAGGGCAAGAGTTGACATAGGCATGACAGGCTGAATTATACCTTTAAATACCATAATTCTGATACTTTTGTCACGATATTCTTGACTAAAATTTTGCATTCATATGGATTCACCGTAGCCTTACAGAGACAGATCTTGGGGCATGCAGCAGCTCTTATCTTCCCCAATCCATTTCTCATAGTATGTGGAATATCTGAAACTTTTGTAAATATGAGAAGAGGAGGAAGGAGACAGACAAGTTTTATCTTGCCTTACTGTTAAGTGTGTGTTAGAAAAAAAGAAAAAAACAGACTGCAGTGTATTTCTTTTTACCAAAGATGGAAAAAATTGTTGAAGGGACAGGTATTCGAATGGCAGAATATATTTCCCCATTAGGGAAAAGCAGTTAGACTCAATGAGGCCTCTGGGAAATGTGACTGACATTAAAAACAATCCTATTTTGTGTTATGATACTCCTTTAATAATGAATCTGAGCTTTTTATGTGTTTAGGTATGTTTATTTAAGTAACTGCGTACAGAAGGAGCTGTAGAAAACATTCAAGGTAATGGAAAAACAACACCTCTCATATTTTCGATTCCTGAAATTGTTTTTCATACTTGAAACGTTGTTCTCTTATATTAGCATGAGACCAGATAGAAGTTCAGTCTGAACAGATGAGTTTGGACATGTCCCCCAGACTGATACCATCAGTATCACCATCAGAGTGGTGTCTCAGGCACAGTTCTGGTGGCTTTCTGTGGTGCTTTGTCTCCTTGCCTGAGCATCAGTCTCTTCCCATCAACATCTACAAGAAGATGCTTCTTCATGAAGAAATACAGCTTGTGTTTTTCTCTGCAGCCAGGATGTTATTTTTTTTCAGTTGATGAAGCACAGTGCCTGTTTCATATGAAGACGTAACTACTAATTGTATTTCTCTCTTTTTTTTTTTTTTTTTTTTTTTTTTTTTTTTTCAGAAGCCAAAACCAAAGGACTGGCATCCTCCTGGAGGATTTATTCTAGGACTGTGGGCACTGATTATCATGGTTTTCTTCAAGACATACGGAATCAAACACATGAAGCACATCTTCTGAATTTGAGCAAGCAAGACGATTGCGTTGGCTGCTACTTTGGATTCACTGGTGTCATCTGAGTTCTCTTTATGTATATTATGGTTATAGTGAAAAACAGAGTTGGCATCTCACTTCTAAGTGTTCTTTCCTGCTCTGTTAAATACAACCCTTAGGTCAGTCCTTACACACTAGACAAGTTTGGATTTAGGATTCTGAGTTGGTACAAGTGAAACAAAAATATGATTACCTCACTGAATCTACTTAAAAGATATACCAAAAAGAGTGAAACTATGAGAACACCATGTCCACCAAGAGCATGTCATAGATGTCATCTTTTTACTCCACGTGATCTGGATTTGGACGTTTTGGGGTTTTCAGTGCACTGGATTTTTGCATAAAGCAAAACTGTGACTCTAGGATCAGGATGGAAAATGTTATAAGTAGTATTATTGTATCCAGTAATTTCTGAGCACTTGGAAGATGAGATTTATAATTTAGGTTTTGTAAATTCTGTTCAGGCATATTGATTTGTTCTTCTTGGACATGTAATGATGAATGCATGCTAACTGTGTTTTGGCTGGGTAATACACAGATACTAATAAAGAGAAGAGCAAATTTCTGCATGTATAAAAACAGTAAGTGCCAACTAGGTGATACTCTTGCAGAATGCTTTTGGAATCTCTTCTCTCCCCTAATCATAATAAAGCTGATGCATACATGGTTTAAAGTTACTAGGTGTTATCTGTAAACACTTTATGTTGAGGCCAATAGTGTTATCTTAGAATCAGGTGTTGAGCATTTTCCTATTGCACAGAACAAATCTGAGTGCTTACACATTTTTATTGTTTTTCACTTTCCTTCTCTTTCAGTCTGGCTGTGTCATCATAAACTCATGTAAGAGGTAGCAGACTTGTCAGAGACCTCTGTGTATGCAGTGACTGGAGAGGATACAGGGAGGGCAGCCACTGAGACTCTCAGCTGTTTCTTGGGTTGGATGTTAGACAACAATAAGCAACAGAAGTGTAGCTCATCTCGTGAATGTAAAAATCCTTTTTCTCCCTGTATCTTCTAGGCTTGGATAGGATAAAAGTACCAAATGAGCCATTTTCAGGAGGTAAATACTTGCTTGCTGCACCTTGACCTCACAATAAAGTTGTGGTATCTAGAACCTTGTGGTATTTTTTGCTGAACAGCAGGAATTGCTTTCAGCATTTGCTGAGCTCCAAGAACAGCAAGTAAGCTGTATTGAAAACACCAATGTCCTCATAATTTTATAAACTGTTCTTCTGTGGAAAATATTGGTGATTTCTTCCCAGTTTGCCACTGAGAAGTTTTTGTATAACTGAAGCAGCTTAATCAGAAAGGTGAAAGCTTTGTTCGCTTCTTCAGAGAAGGTGGAGGTGAGAAGCTGTGTGAAGCATGAGGAATGGATGTCTTTGTGATGTACTGGCTTGGTGGTTTATTTGTTTTTTGGGGTTGGATCTTTCACAATCAGTAGGTTCATATGCAAAACATGATGCCAGGGTTATTTCTCTTAAAATGCAAGAAGCTATACGTTCTCATACAGCAACCTACTGAGATCTGTTGTAGGCTGCTGCAGAAATACAGAGACAGAGAAATGTGTAGATACTGTAGAAAAATGAATCCTGCAGAATTTGTTCTTAGAGGATTTGCTTGCATTCCATTTTTTAATCCAGCCTTTGATCCTCTTTTTCTATTGTAATGAATATTTTTAATCAAATATTTATTTTATGGGCTGGCTTTGTCACATATTAAAAATGGCTGAAGTGAAATTGATAGAGCTTTCTGCCTTGCTTCAGTTTGAATTAGAGTTACTGGGAGCCCTCAGCACTTACTGAATTTTTTTTCTACCATCTTTTGCAGGAAATGTTGGGTACAAATGTCAGCAAGAAACAGCAGATACCAAACTTTCTGTCTTTTTAAAACTTATCTGCTTAGGGAAAAGGAGGCAATTAGGTAGGTTATTAAAATGCAATTTAGAAATAGAAGCACTTGCTAAATGTGCCCGTGAAGGTGATTAAACTGAAGTGAGAACAACAATTACACTAAAATGCGACAAACTACACCGTGGGCTTTTCTAATGTTTTTATAAGCACAAAGTAAGGGATTGGAATACATGTTTCTCAGAGTCACCATAAAGTTGCCTGTACTACATTATTCTACACATTATTTTTTATACAATATGTTTTATTCTTTGTTTAGCCTGAAAACAACTCTAGAAATATCTTCTTGCTGTCTGTAAATGTGTTTGTGCAATTACATATTTATTTCTTTTAAGTTGGTATCTTTTCCGCTGACAGCCCTTCAAACTCACTTGGGATCTGGACTCCAGGAACAAATGAGGACATTCTTATACACCATTCGTGTTTTACAGGCCAGAAAATATGCTTGTGCAGTGCAGATGCTTTCTGCGTTGTGCACAGATGATCTCTGTAATGGAATTGAGAAAATAGGCAAGTTGACAGCTCCTTTATGTTTCCTTGCATAGAAACTTACAGAGCAGAATTAATTTTGACATTTTGAGAGTCTGTATAGGTAGGTCTGTGAACCAAACACACTCATGCTTGCAATATTTGGTATGTGTATGCCTGCACCTTTTGCTGTGTAGCTGGACTGATCTGTCTGCAATGGGTTTTGTAGATGTTGTTTACAACACTGGTGGCTGATAAAAATAATTGTTTCATTTCAGTATTTCAGCTCTCTCAGAATCATGTATTGAAACAGTATTCAACTGAAGAATGGTAAGTTAACTGCTCTTGTACTCCTGTATGCGTTCTCCTATGCCTCTGCACTTCCTTTCATTTTTAAATGGTCTTTAAAGTATTGCATGCATTTAGAGCAGTTTCGTATGACCATGTCCAAACATTTACACAAATGCAGAATTTAAACTGTGCTTCTGTAATAGACTGAGAAGTGAGATTCCTCGCAAATCAGTGAAGGAAGTCTGAGAAGTGATGACACAGCATTTAAATTGTCTCAACCAGCCAAATATTTTTTGTTTTTTATCTGAATATTACCAAGAAATGCTGTCATCCTAGCATAAGCAAAGGTAACAGAGTCATCAGAAGTATTTTTACGATAGTATAGCATAGAGTATATAGAGTATAACTCTTCTAGAGAGTGACCTGTCGCTCTACCTTCACTAAAAAATGGTCTCCATTACTGATTATAGCAAAGCAAATGAGTGCAAATTGAATCCATTTCTCTCTGTTCAGCAGTCAGGGATTTCCATTCTCTGGTACCACATCCTGGAAACATGAACACGAATCTCATGGCCTAATGCCCTGCAGATGGGCGTTGGTGTGTGCTAAAGCAGAGCTGAGTTGTACGTAGCCCTAACCCAGTGGTGTGTGAAAAAGCAAGGACCAGACTCAACTATGAATTTATCATGAGTGGAGAGGATCTGCATGGTGATGGGGCAGGAAGGTGTTGTGTATAGGACAATTTGGGGACAAAGCTTGGGAGCATCGGAAAACTCAGTCTACCTGTGTATAGGTCTTCCAACTCTGTCAGAGAGCTCTTTGTGACCTGGGAGAATTATGCTTTCTGGATGAGTTCACCTCTGGACTGAAGACAAGCATAAAGTATCTCACCCAAGAGGCTAACAGAACCATAAAGTTATGAACTACAGAAAATAGTGTGCGTAATGAAAGTGTCTCATCAACCGTAACTTCAGCACTTCTTTACAGTAATGAGCATAATGGAGTTTTTGTATTTTTGGGGTGTTGAAAAGCAATTTTTTATTTAAAAAAATAAAAAGGAGAAATGTTTCTTTTGGAAGATATCTTCTGCTCTGTGTGCTCCACTGTTCTCTCTGCTTTATCTCTTTCCATTAACTTCCAAAAATAACATGCTGTAGGGAAACATGTCTTGAAAGTATTGAGGTTTTATGATGAAAACTTGAATATGCTGTGTAATGTGCTCTGAAATCAGCATTTCATAGCACTGATTTCACTTGCAAGTTATTTTAAATAAGTCACTTTTTTCTCCTTAATGAGGATTTCTGCCTTGTTTGATGATTAAATTGATAGCGTTTAAGGTTTCAGTTCAAAGTTTATAAACACATACAGCTCTTAATGTTTAGTTCTGCTGTGTTTCCCTATCCGTGCAAATTTTAGATTTTTGTTTGTGTTGCTTGTTCTGTGTATACAGACAGCTCACTGAAGCCTTGACAGTACAGGCATGTCATTTTTGCTGCTCTGGCCAACAGGCTTCCTAGAGGCGTGGATTGTATCAACACAAGTTATTTTGGTAGCATTGTTTGCAGGAGGCCCTTCAACAAAATAAGCACTACCAGAAACAGGCTGTCTCTGCAGAGTAAGAGCAATGCTGGCAAAGCTCTAGCATAGATGCTCTTTCTTCCAGTAAGATTTTTTTCACACTGCTCACTGAATCATTTCTTTGGTGACACAGCTGCTGGGATGTATTTTGTTGGGGAGGTTTGTGGCATGTCACGCTTGTTCCTATGTCAAAGTCAACTAATTGGAACTAGGAAATGTATTTCTTTCCTTGCCTGCAAAATGACATGCTGGAATAATGCTGGCATACATTACACATTTATTGGTTCCATTGGTTTTGACCCTGTGCTTTCTTCACCTTTGGTTCTAATATAACGATAGTTACTTCCTTTGTCAAATGCTTTGATATTTACCAATGAAGAACACCACTAAGTATTAGCTATTGCTGTTTGCTTTTTGTTAGTTGCTTACTGTTTTTGTGCTGGTTTGTGTGTCCAGGTTACGTGTGTAGCTCAAAATACGGTGGCTCAAGTTGCGATGATTTTAGGTTCCTGTGGTCTTTATAACGCAAGAGGAGCACTGAGCAGAATTGTCAGTATATTGTGACAGTGCACGGCAGTATTTTGTACAGCTCTTCTGCATAGCCTCCTTCACACTTGTCCCCATCTTCTGCACTTGCTTTTATCACTTATTTCTGCGTAGCTGCTGCTTGTGTGCAACAGGATTTGCAACTAAGTGACCAGGGGAAGCCTCTTAGTGTATGGTATACTCCTTGTCTAGAAGTGTATAGCTGTATTTAAAGTAAAAAAAAGCTGCAGTGGAGATATTCCAGTTTTGTCCTACACAAATGAACAACACACTGAATACTGGTAACATCTTCTGGTTTTGGCATTGTGTGCAGCTTGATTAGGGCAGAGATGGAATGAGGGGAACACATCCTCACCAAAAGCTAACCATCCTAACCAAAGCTCTTCCCTTAGACTCACGTGGTGATTTGGATCATGTTGTGTGTTTGGATTATAACTAATAGGCTCTAGCTTGATCTGATGGCCAAAGCGAAGTCAACGAATTTCTAACACCTTATATCCTGCTAAATATGCATTATTCCTTTTATCTTCTCTATGCTTTAGGAAGTACTTTGTGTCCTAAAAGCCACTGATGTTATCTTAATGGTTGTCTGTCTTGGTTGCTTAAAGAAGCTGACAGACTTAAATATCACTGTGCATCTCCTCAAGGAGATAAATCTGCTCTGAGAAATGAGAAATGATTAAGATAGCTTTCCTTGACTGTTAAGTAGGGTCCAGTCTTGCTCTCCATCTGAGCTAGATGCTTTCACATTGCTTTCAGTAAAATGAAAATGCAGTTACTGTTGGATGTTATGGCTGCCTGGCATGTGCCACTGCTCTGCGTTGGCACAGTGTGAGCGTGGCAAGACTGTGACTGGGCTTCAGCACACGAGTTAATGTTCATCCTGTACAGAAATGTCTGTTGCTTTTTAATTTAGAGTCTAGCCTCTACATACTGTGTCTAGGTGTGACCTAGGATAGATGTCAAGGGAGCAGTTCAGAAAAGCAGCACAAATATATTGACATTTTCCCGTGGAATTCTGCTTGTAACCTTGTCCTGACAGGAAATCTGAGGATGTTTCTCTTAACTTTTGTTTCCTGTGTTCAGATGGGCTCCTTGAGTGAAGATCTCTGTTGTGCTGTAGTACCACAGTTTCTTTGCAAGCCTTTGAAGTGCAGCCTTGCAAAACCAGTTGTGGAGCTCCAGGTGGACTCATCACCTGGTTCTTGTCTACTTGCTTCAGAAAACTTGACACTTAGTTTCTTCAGCAGTTGATCTCAATTCCAGCTGTCCATGGTATGGCATAACAGCTATGGTTCTTTAGGGCAAAAAACAGCTGCTCAGATTAAACCCAGCATAAAAAGCTATGGTATGCTGAAAGTTCAGAGATAAAGTAACACACCTCTTAAAACTGCTCTAGTGTGTAAACACTGTTTTACAATAGTTTTTAATATGTAAAATGATGCATAATGAAGATCATGAATCAGTCAAATTATAGTGATGAGTGTAAGATGACAGCATAAACTAGAGAACGGCAACAGCTTCTGGTTGCACTACTTATCCTTGGCCTGGCAGTATTTTTTTAATCATAAATCTGTTTATCACTAGGCCATAAAACCTTGCTTAAAGCTGAAAAGTAGCAGGATATGCTATAGTTCAATGTATTGCTTTTTATAAATTACTCATGTATTTTTAAACAATTGAAATTGCAGCATTTTAAAAAGTTTACCAATTTGTTTGCCATCCTGTAACAACTTCCATATTTCAGACTGGATTTATGTTCCCTCTAAGTCTTTGTGATCGTTTTTTTTTTTTTAATTGCTGCCTTCTTGACTTCATCAAATTCCTTTTACAGAAGTTAAGCTTTATACATGTGGGTGTGACTTAGGAAATACACCTCCATACTTTCCGTAATCTGGTGAATGCTGAACCGTCACAGGAAGCTGATGAGACTGAGTTTGGGGTTTTTTGTTCTTTAAAAAGACTGGAAATGTACTGATAATAACTATTTACAGAAACTGAAGAAGGAATATTTACAACTACTAGTTTTACTCTGTTGAAAGTCAGACGATCTAATATCAGTTTATCCTACCTTTCTTCTTCAGATTCTTAATAGTTCACCTGATCTGTTCTGTGCTGACCAGTCTTTCAGGCAGGAGGCATGCACATGGAGCACAACACAATCTTGGGAGTCCTGCTGAACACTGTAAGTAGATCACCGTAATCTATTTTAAAACAATCTATTTTTACCAGAAACATCACAATCTGAACATTTAGAATGTAGGTCCTGCAGCTCTCAGTTAATGGGAAAACTAAAAGCTTACTATATGAAAAGATCTTTTTATTGTATCACTAATCAAATAACAGAAGGGTTGTGGAATCACAGTACCTACTGTGATCTGCACCATCTCTTGCAGTCACATTAGAAATGATCTGTAAATCAATTTGACAGAGTTCATCAATTCAAGTAATACATGTTGGATACATGCCCCAGTACACATGCTGAAAGGGATGTGCAAATTACTATCAGTTCAAAACCCATTCTGTTCTTCGTAGAATTCTGTGAAACGAAGTGGAAGGGATAAAATATAATCACTGAATGAGGGACAGTTAGAGATCAGCTGGCAAGAGATGGGTCACAAGTAATTGGCAGAAGCAGGGATTTGTATTAATTTTGTGTGGTGAATGATGTATAGCAGGAAAAGCACTAAAAGAAAAGTTCCAAGGCAAAATAGGTTGCACTTTATTTCTTACCTTGTGATAGTGGGGAGTGCTGCAGCAAGGAAGGGAGCTGTTGGAGAAGGTCCAGAGAGAGCCACAAAGATGGTCAGAGGTCTGGAGCACCTCCCCTACGAAGACAGACTGAGGGAGCTGGGCTTGTTCAACCTGGAGAAGAGAAGGCTACAGGGTGACCTCATTGCAGCCTTTCATTACCTAAAGGGAACCTACAAACAGGAGTAGAGTCAACTCTTTGAAAGGGTAGATATGGCAAGACAAGGGGAAACGGTTTTAAGTTGAGGGAGGGAAGATTTAGGTTGGATATTGGAGGAAGTTCTTTAACAGAGAGAGTGGTGAGGTGCTGGAACAGCTGCCCAGAGAGGCTGTGGATGCCCCATCCCTGGAGGTGTTCAAGGCCAGTTTGGATGGGGCCCTGGGTAGCCTGGTCTAATGTTAAATGGGGAGGTTGGTGGCCCTGCCTGTGGCAGGGGGTTGGAGGTTCGTGATCCTTGAGGTCCCTTCCAACCCAAGCCTTTCTATGAAGGAGAGTGGTTCTCTTACACAGCATTACAGGGGTAACGCTGTTCTACCTCTGACAAGGTGCTTTACTGCAATTTGTCCCTAGAGAACTAGGGCATCTGCTGGGCAGCTGCAGCTGTTGCTGTGACATTTTGTGAAGACGAAGTCATAACATGTCATAACTGAGTTTAAATGATACTGAGTTTGGTTCCAATTCCATGTATTGTCTCTGAGGTTGAGCTCATTGGGTTTAGAGGCTTCAGTACCTTTGTTCTGGCTTTACTATTTGGCCAATGAGAGACACCTTTGTCAGTGTGTTTCATGCAATAATTTCTTCAAAATAATCAACAGGAGCAGTTAGAGATTTTGTATTTGTGAGGCAAAAGGAGAAATAATGGCATAAATGAAATTCTCTTTATTCACAAGCCAAGTGTAACCCAGTAAGACACAGTGTGAGCTTCCACATGCAGAACTAGCATTGTCCACTCCTTGTGTTTGCCAGGCTTGCGTACGTCACACAGATACTGCAGGTGTAACTTCGCTGCTCTCAGGGAGACAATTTCATGGAAATCTTTCTGCATCCCAGCTTCGGTGCAGTCCAGGATCTCTGAGGTCAGTGGTGGTCTTGGAACAGTGGAAGGCATGGATTACACAGGTGTGGCACTACCCTCTTTTTGGCTGGTCCTGTAGTACACTGTGGCACAGCTTCCTGGTTTTAGAAATTTGGTTGTGTTGTTGAAAGCCGTTGTTACAAATTGTCGTTGCTTGTTCTGCAGATTGTTGCCTCAGGAAGGCTGCTCCTTCAGCCTCTGCAGCACCACAACAAGCAAAACCAAACACAACCCCTCAGCTGTAGTTGGACTCTTCTGCACTGAGAACATGGTGCTGTAAACTGATTTCTTTGGGATGAACTCTGCCTTCCTTCCCCCCACCTCTAGATTAAAATAGAGCAGTTTGATAGCACAGCAGCAAATTCACATTAATACCAAACAGAATTTCCACTACCGTTTTCATATTAACATGAGATGCCAGAATGTAAAGTTAGCTAGATCTGCACATGGGACCATTCTTGCTGTTAAAGGCTTTAGGCTGGAATGGAGCCCAAAATTTTTAAAAGAAATGAAACATTTCCAGATCAAATATTAATTACATGCTATATAGAATCATATTTTTCAAACAAATTTTATAAATAAAAAGCTAGGCCTTTCAAACCATCAGCAATATTAATTTTGGATTTGAAAGATTATGAAAGATCAACACCCACAGAACTGTGAACTAGAAAAATACTGGCCTAGGTTGCATAAAAACCTCCATTAAATAAATACTGTCAGTTTTCACTATGAAAATTCAGTGGTGTTGTACTTTAAAAAACCATAATGAATTACCCATCCCGTTAATGATACCGAGTTGCTTTTCACAAATCACACACACGTACAGGAAGTCAGATAATGGCCCAAAGACTGGATTAACACACAGTTCAAAAGAAAGTACCCTGGATGCACTCCTTCATCGGAACTTCCTGACTTGCTGCAGTTATCAGCTGCAAATCCTGTTACCCTTTTGCTGTCAGTTGCCTTGCTGTCCCAGAAGGTCCAACACCCTGGTGGCTGATACAGTCGGTGATTGTGGTTGCAGTCTTATGCATTCATCCCTCAGACCGCTGCTTTAATCTCGGGGTGATTTACAGTAAGAGGTTCTGGTTTCCAGTCTGGCTGGAAGAAGTGAATATTGAATGTCCTCGCCCAGTTCTCAAACACTCGTTTCTCTGTGATGAAACGATGATGGCTGCCCTTTCGTCCCCGCTCGTGAGAAATGTACATTGTGCATTCATCGGGTCCCAAAGGTTCATAATAATGATAAGGTACTGAAAGATGATTAGGATCCCTGCGGGAGAGAAAAAAGAAATAGATGGAAGCCCCAGATGTTCTATTTTACTGATTGAAAAGATGCTATCTTTAATAAGCTGATGGGCTCAAATCTACTTTTACTCCCAGTTAAACTGCATTTTCAGGTATCTGCATTTTTCCTGAATATTTAACACATCAGAATGTGGCAGAGGTTTTTTCTTTGCTCCTTCCTTTAATCTCCTCCTCTCGGTTAAATAAAGGACAGCAGTAGCTCAGAAATAAGGGAGAGTGCTGCAGGGCTGTGCTACTACTCTGAAATTTGAAGCAAACTGCTTAAGAGATTTATATCTAGATAGTGATTTGTAAAAAGCTTTGCAGAGGTATTTACTGAAATAGGGAAAGAAAGGGAAAAGAAAGATGGAGGGGCACTGGTTATCTGTGTCACAGCAGCTGAGCTGAACACTCGCAGCTTGGTGCACACGGGTGTGAGTGCACAACTTCAGTGAGCACATCTGCGCGCCAGGTGAGCGACACAGCCTGCTGGTCCTGGCTTTATATCAAGGATCCAATGCCTGAGCGAGTTGTTTGCTATTGTAAAATGGCAACTTTCACGTGTGTATGTGAGCTGGAAATTCAGGCCATTCACACTGACCTCGTGAGCCCATCAGCATTAACCAGCAGTTATGGTGTCACATAGGATGCGCCAAAGACTCATGAAATATTTAGGATAAAGATCATTTTAACAGTTTTAACATCAGTGCTTTGATGTTGCATTCTGTAAGAGACACGTGTATTGTGTTTGTAATGTAATAAGCCACAGTGGTTCACTCTCCTTTTATTCTCTACATTAAACTATACCCATTATGTTCTTTTGCTTTGAGCACAGACTGACAGGAGCTCATACAGCTGTCTCTGTCCTGAATTCAAGGAGAGATAACTGTCCTAGACAGAATAACCCAACTGTACAGCGCTCAACAGTTAATACCAACAAAGTATTTTGTAGTGGCAGAAAAAGTAGCAGAATGTTGATTGATTGAAATACTGCCATTTAGTAAAGCCTTAGTGCTCTATATGAAAACCTGAGTCGAGTAAGAATTGCACAACAGAGCAAGAAATCTCACACAGAGTCAGGGCTGTCAGCTCTAATATTGAGTTGATTATTTTCATTTTGAAGAGCTAATATTTAAGCTCAAATTCAATTGAACGCATCCACAATCTGTCACTATTCTGTCTTGGTCATTATTTTTACTGTGTAATTCTGTCACCTATGCAATTCTCTAATTCTTCTTATTTTACCATTATCCATATTGTATGCGCAGAGGTAACGTATGATATTACTGCTGCTTTCCATTTGTACTGTAAATTAACATTTTAATTCAATCAGTCCAGCTTCCCAGTAACACAACAGGGCGATCAATCTTACCACACTAGAATAACAATAATATTGTGTTTCCAGAACAAGATGGATTCTAACTGTACTGTATGTATTCTCACTGGAATACATAAGAGAGCAAAAAGAAATCTTTTAATTTCCCACCTACAGACGGTGTATTTTTAATGTAAAAAAATACCCTTTTCTGTACATTCTTTCTAGGTACAACTATTAGATCTCAATCTTCAGTTTCATTTTCATATAAGTTTCTCTTAAGACATTGGACTTCTTGTTACAATCTCTAAAATGAATCATTTGTATGATTACTGTAAAAGTAATAGGAAACGCTTATGTTTTCTTACAACTACTAAACACACAGACACCTGCCTTTCATTTAGGCTTCTTTTCTTCACTCTAGATGGGTTTTACTTGTGTTCTCCAGGGTAAACCTATATTGCGTGATGGAAATTTACTGCTTTAAAATTATAATTAGTGAAGTTGAAATCTTATCTCCAGCAGTCTTTGAATAAATGCAGTCACAGAGGAACTAAATTAACTGCTCAGGCCCAGTACTGCACCATGAGCCTGTCAGGCTGCTGTGCTGATAGCGCATCTGGCTCACATCCTCCTGCCTTGTTTTCTTCTGATATTCTGAGGCTTAAAGGTCCAAATGCATTTTAGGTTTAGGAACACTGAAAGGCTGTTCAATACCTACCACTTTTTGTCTGAAGTCTTTTTCCTTTTGAGGCAGTTCTGGATTCCCCCAGATATCATGCTATTAAGGCTTGGATTGGAATTCTGGCCTGAGCAACTACAGCATAACTGAAATTAACTGTACTGTGTTATCTTCTAACTCTGCAATTAGCTTGTGTCACCAGCAAATGAAATGCATGAGTAATTTCTATGCGGAAATTGCTTGCCACCTCATTTATTAACATTAAAACAGATGCTGTTTTATCACTGACTGATACTGGACATTAATCAGTATTTTGTCAGGCTTCGCATGCATATTAATATCACAGCTGGGAGGAATCGAGAGAAGATCCTTTGTAAAATATACTCTACTTCCTGCCTAATCGCCTGCCAGCGCAGCAGCAGCGTAAGTGCTTGTACCCAATGTCAGTCATCCACTGTTTGCCTCTTCAGTGCACATTTTCCCACAGATGGTATCCACCCACAGCAAAAGCTGAAAATACAGCAAGCAGTGTTTGTCTCAAAAGAAACGAGACAGAAAAACATGGCCATCCCATCCCGTGTTCCGGTCAACCTCTCCCTTTACAAACAGGGCTGTTACAAAGCAACCCGCTGAAACCACAGGTGCTTGACTTGCTTTGTCAAACAATTCGTTCTTTGAAGGGTGAACAAAACGCAATTAACATGTTGAGTGATGGGCAACATGCTGCACCAGCAGTCCTTAAGTTTTTTGGATAATTTTTTTGTCTTCTATTCCCAGGAGCTCATTTCCTTGGCATGCATTCCAGCCCGGTTTTCCAAACCATCTAAGCATTTTGTTACTAAGTTAGTAAGGTGATGAAGAGAGATTTGGGTATAAGGAACTAAAGGGCATCGCTATCTCCCATGCAGTTTATATTATCACCTATGTGCATCAAGTCCTCCTTACGCCCCAGCAAATGTAAGTAGCAACAACTGCTTCTTTGCAGTTGAATTAAAGCAATTGAAAGTGGAGAGAGGAGGTGAAAAAAAAAACAACACACTAGATTTAAAAGCGGTGCCCAAAGGAATAAATTAAAGGATTTCAAATGCCAATTTTCAGGCAAATTATCACAGATGGGAAATGGCCTGGCAGTCAAATGAGGATTCTTCATAGGAAAATGATCTGACTCCATAATTGAAGCAAAAATTATTCATATCAGTTAAAAGAAGGCTCAGAATTAAGCTCTAGGTTTCTTTGAGTTCCAGAAGGCCCATGAAGGGGGGCAGGGAGAGAAAGAAGGAGGACGTTAAAGGGATCTCTTCAACACCTTGAATTTTCCTTGCATATGTAAGAACACAGAGATCCCTGTAAGAAACCAACCTTTCAGCGCTGCAGAGAATCCAACAGACAGGAACTGGTGTTACTATAAACTGCATTAAGCTTTGTCTCTATCCTTTGCAGATGCTGCTGAGCAGCCACAAGGAAAAGCAGCAGCACTGCAGCTTCTGCAGGAGTCGTGGTGCTATCTGTGCACTGCAATCTGGCTGCTGGTGTAGGGAAACAAGAGGAAAATGCTTGATATCCATCATAGGCAGAAGTGAGTCCTTGCATGTGCATGTGGCAGACTGCTTAAGGCTGCTCAGAGAGGGCAGTGCTTCCTTCCTGCCCGGCTAGGCTCAGACTGGATCCCTGGACATGAACAAGTACAGCAAGATGACTTGTTTTATGACAGAAAAGGGAGAGATGCACACTCTCTCCAAAAAGCTTCGTAACGTGCATGTGAGCACAGGCTTTCATCTCATTCCAGAATGTGCAAGACAGACATATCTAGCAGCGTGAAAGCAATATCAAAGCCATTAACCCTTAGCACAGCAGAAATCTGAAGCCAAGCAAAAGGCAGTTGGTATTACATACAGCTTTGCTTTGTGCTACCAGAAATTTATAATAATCACATTGTCAATTCCAGTTAAACTATCAGTTCAGTGTCCAGTGAAAGTAAATAGAAATGAATCTAAAACATGTTGTTGCAATTAATAGAGGCAGATAGTAGCAGTAGTGCAGACTGCTTCACTGGACTATTTTTCCCGCATGGGTTGCAAGCAATTTGGTTAATGATCTTAAGCTAATAATTTGTAGCAGAATCAACTGTATAATGTTCATGATACCTTTGAGGTGTCCTTCATGTTACAGATGTGATGCTAATTCAGTTCCATGACACTGATCACCCACACTCATTACTTACTCCACAGATTAATACTTAACAAATAATGAATATTTGCTGGAGTTGTACTTGGTGATATTCAATTTGAATAATATTAAGAACATTAATGTGTATTTTTTAAATCTTAATGATTCCTTAGTTGCACAGCAAGTAAAATACTCTTGTACCTATACCATCTCATGCATACATGAGAGGTAAGGTGGGTTGGGTTGGTTTCTCTTAGTTTTGTGAAATGGTAGTTTTTGTTGTTTTTTTTTTTGTCTGGAAGCCAGACAAATCTGCCCTAACTTACATTTGTTTACAGAATGTTTCTTTCTTTATGATTTCCTATTTTGTTCTCTTATTTCTCTGAAAGGATGCACTGTTTAAATTAATGAGTGGCTGATCAGAAAGTAAGTTTAACTTCACTTATGGCAGCTGGTGCATTTGGAACTGTAGTTTTCCCCTTCATAGTTAGTTAAATAAACCTTAAGACATTTTATATTATTTTAGTTAAGAAATGACCTTCTTCCTCTTCTATGGCCAGTTAAGTGCATCTTTGTTATCCAAGCTGTAAGCATTATTACATCTACTGACAGTAGGATTTATTACAGCATTTTTTTGTTATAATTTAATATTACATCCATTTGATTCCAGTGTGTCGTTTCTACGAAAGCCTTTCAGGTGGTCTTAGTTACCATTTTACCCTCTCCATATTTTTGTATGTGTTTTGCTGTTTTTGTGGGG